CTTGTTGTTCTCTTGTCCTGGGTTTGTTAACACCTCTTCCCTTCCCCCTACCTCCCCCTCTCCCATGTCCCCCCTGAACTGTAGGTCCCGTTGTTTTCTCCTCCAGATTGTTCATCCAGCCTGTCCTATCCAGACAGACCTCAAACAGAATAATTAACCATATGAAAGGCAAGCAATCAGCCAGCCCTGGGCAGGAAGGTGGGTCCAGTGCCCCTCTGCCCTCTCAGTCTGCCAGTGCCCTTACAGGATCTTTCAGTGCAGAGAGAGTCATCAACAATACCTGAAGGGGTTCTCCCATCCCAGGAGAACTTCCACAAATGCTGCAAGGGCTGAGAATTAATAACCCTGTGCTAACGGCCAGAACTACAAACAATTTACCGTAGGTTAATTTCATTCTAGATATGTACCCTAATGATCAAGATGTGCCTGATCTATGAAAAGATATCAAGGAAAGCCATGGAAATATTGAATAATGAGGGAAGGGGCCGAAGCGGGTCCTGTCTGCTTGGGTCTGGGTGGGTTTTCTTCCTCGTCCCTTGTGTGAGGTCTGCTGATTGTTTGCTGTGCGCTTACCCTCTCTTAGACCCACTCCCCCTGGGACGCTCCTATGGTACCTCCTGCAAAGCGGCTGCTGTGGAACTGGAGAGAAGTGGGTCTTCGCTACCTTTGTGTTACCTCCCGTGGTGTATTCACCACCTCCCCCTCCGTGTTCCATGTATGACTACTGAGCAGACAGGGCATGCAGTCATTCCTCATATCGAGTGAAGAACATTTGTACTGAAGTCCGAGCCACGCACAACTGGACTTGCCTTCTTTGTATGTCACAGGGTGCCAGCTTTCACTATCCCGACCAGGAGCCAGGACTGAGTGGTATGTAACTTTATCAGACCCCAAAGCACATAGGCTACAGCCTCCTACAGGTCCCCCCCCCCACTCGCCCCCCAATGCCATAGAGTCCATTAGTACTTATGGTGGTCTTAGGTAGTGTTTCTGCGGCTGTAAGTCTTAATGGGAGTAGTTTCATCTTGCTTCCGTTGAGCAGCTGGTGGGCTTGAACCACCGCCCCTGCAGTTGGCAGTCTATTGCCTAACCCACATCAGCACCAGGACTCCATTTCATTGGGATACGTTTGTTGCTCCCTCTGGCTTCTTTTCCTGCCACACTTCCAGGGTCAACAAGTATTATTTACTGATCCTCTCCACTTAGCTTTGGGTTCCTTCACATAAAAGGCTCTCAGCAAGTAATTGTCCCAAGAATAAAGCAATGATCCTTCAAGTGTTGCAGAGCGTGGGAGGCAGACAAGCTTCTGCAGTGTGGCTTCTAAGATGGGTATGCATCTCTTAAGCCTCACCTATGTTCCATAGCTGAAAGGGGCATCATTACCCGTTGCTTGTTTCGCTGAGCTGCTGCTTCACACCAAGCTTTTCAAGTCAAACTAAAATTAGTACTGAGTGTCTGAACTCTTGCCAGAGCACACAGAACGAGCGTGTGCTCGTTGTGCTAGTTGGGAAGCTGCCTGGCCTTCTGAGCAACTAGGAAGTGGGCTGACACCTAAGATTGGCCAGTGTTTTCTCTTTCATCCTCTGAAGACAAAGCACAGGGTCTGATTAAACTGTGGCTCCGCAGAGATCAGTATCTTATCCCAGATCTTTTCCTATGTGACAAAGCTCCTGGATAAATAAATAAGTAAATCAACTCATGAATATCAGACCTCATATTTGAACCCGTATAGATCCCTCTGCTTTCTACCTCTGCTCACACACACACCCTGCCCCCAGGGAAGAGCTTGTCTGGGTCCCCTGACCCCTGCAGACTGTCTGTGTGTACTGCTGCTGTGTTGTCTCTCCCACCTTGCTTCATTTATCTCTGGCATCCTGTCCACTGAGTCATGACTCGCTTCATTTCGTCGCATGGGACTCTTTCCGCTTGTGTAATGGAGGCACAGTTGGCCAGCTCTTGGAGACTCTCCATGCTCAAAGAAGTCCTTGCTTCTCCATCTCTCTCATTTGGATTGACATCAAAGCTGGAAAAGGTTACTGCTGACGTTATTGAACCTTTTCAGTATGCAGATTATATAATGGCACAAATAATTTTATATTGGCATAATCAAATTCTTAACTATTCATTTTTATCACTGCCTGTTCAATATGTCAAGCTGTAAAGTGGAAGATTTTAGATTTATGGGAGTAACCTAGATCTGAAAGAAGAAGAAATGTGAAATGCTGAATTCTGAAGTGCAAGCTCCACCACCGGACTGTAGACTTCATGAAGATAGAGGCAATGCCACATAGGCCACTGTAGCCACTGTTCCTGCCCAACGGCAGCCTGTCGACCCTCCTTGAATAACCAGTGGAGACATAAATGGAACCCCGCTTGGGCCTTCTAACCTCCCAGTGCCTACTATGGTTCCTTACAACAGTAGAAACTGATAAATATTGTCTGACTCGTTTTAAGAATCCAGTGGACTCACTGAAAAACATATTGCCTGTGCTTTAGCTTACATAAGTATAATTAGTCAAAATACTGTATTCTTTCAGTTGTGCAACTAATGGTGCTATTGTTAGGTGCTATCAGCTGGCTCATGTCGACCCTGTGCACAATGCTGCCTGGTTCAGCGCCATCTTCCCAGTTGTTCCTCTGCTGGAACCCACTGTGTCCATCCATGAAATAGATGTATGTACTATATTTCATGAGTATGAAATAACGTGGCAGTGAGTGACAAATGTGATCATGAAAAACAAGGCAGAATTTAAGAGGATGGGTATTAGTTATTTAAAATAAGATGGCCGTGTAAATGGATGAGTGATATTTTTATGTAAAATACTTGGACAATTAAATACAAAAATGAGGATCGATACTTTAGGCAAGCATCATCATTATACCCTTTTGGGCCATGGTAGTGGAATCTGCCTCTCCCATTTTCATAGTGATCTTAGAGCAAAAAAAATTATTTGAGATAGGTATTTTCCTAGCTTTGGGGGAAGGCTTTGAACCAGTTCTCCCCAGTTCGGTCATAGGTGATGAAGCAAAATCAGAATTGACCTGAATTTATGAAACCATAACTAGAACTGGAAAAAGGATGGGTTCACGCCATGCTAGAAACTTAGCCTCTTGCTTAGAAAATCAGGGCAACATACACATTGCTTAGCAACCAAAGCTCTTGACCATGAAAGTCAGAAACAATGGTGCCTTGCTCACAGAGGCCGGCCGACCATGCCACTGTGAATGTGTGTTGTCGGCAGTGCAGGCAGTAATCCAATATCCTGAATCGGGTTCCTCCCATGCAGTGGTTCTCCACCTTCCTCCTGCCGCGACCCTTTCATACAGTTCCTGTGGTGGTGACCCCCAACCATAACATTATTTTCGTTGCTACTTCATCACTGTCATTGTGCTACTGTGATGAATCGGGCGACCCCTGTGAAAGGATCGTTTGACCCCCCAAAGGGGTCGCGGCCCACAGGTTGAGAACCACTGTTCCAAGGGTCTCCCACTCCAGGGCTTCACCTCATGATTTTTGCTGTTCCCGTTATCATTCCACTTCACCAAAATTTTAAGCATTTGGATATCTGTTCTAGTTTTATTTTGTTGCCCATGACTCAACAGGTTTCAACACTTTGAACTCTTGTTTGGGGAGAATATAATTCATCAACTGCGTCCCATCCTTTTCTTAGTCAAACATGGGCTTTTAAGATCAGCATGGACCCTCTGGGACACAAACTCAAATTCGAATATCTTAAAATCATTGATGTGATACATTTATTTGGGCAGGTATAATTAGTGATGAGGGGAATCAAATCAATGCTCTGTGGGGGTTATAAACTGGCTTTCAGGTGAAAGCGTTCTGGCTGAGATGGGTGAGGTATGAGGGTGGTAGCACTTTCTATGAGGTGAAGTTGCAGACTTGGTTAAAATGAGTTACTGGATGACAATGTGGTTTGAAACCCAGAGGAGATGTGTCTGCATATTTATTAGTAGTTCGTCCACTAAGTTTGGTGCTGCCTCAAGGTTCAAGTTCTGTCTTGTGTTAGCCCAACTTCACTTGGAACATAACAGTGAAGTCTTATTTAATTGCCTGAGGATGCATGGCTTTACTGTTTGACGAAATACATCTGTATTTGGACATGAGGAGTAGGAAGTCAGATGAGCCCATGTTTGGGAGGGAAATAAGAAGCATGACTACAGGAGGGGGTCAGATCGGCGTCAAGTATAATCTTACATCTGGATCCTCTTTGCAGATGATTCAGTCCCTCAAGGCATTGATTGAAAATGCAGATGCTGTGTATGAGAAGATTGTACATTGTCAGAAGGCAGGTAAGTGAAAGATGTATCCTTTGTCTTTTTTTTTTTTTTTACATTATATTATGGGTTTATTGAAGACAAAGATCAAGTCTTTTTTTATATCACATAGGTCATAAATATTTTTAAAGAAATCACAATGTTCACAACGCCAATAGCAATGCAGTCTACCTGTAACATAGGTAAATTCCTCTTGGAATTGATCAGCAATGTGTAACAAGATTATGAAAGCTATTAGCAACTCAGGCTACAAGAAGAGACAAAAATCAAATGATCCCCGATTTACACTAAGTAAGATTTTGAGTTTGCTCTGTGATCAATAGAATTTGGGGGGCAAAATGATGTCAAGTAATATTAGCAATATAATTTGAACTCAATTTAAGTTTTAGAAAACATGTCACCAATTTTTAAGAGCAAGCAAGCCCTGTTACCAGATTACCCTATTTATTCAGTCTGTACACTGAGCAAAAAGTCTGAGAAGCCGGACTAAATGTGGAAGGAGATGAGTGGAAGAGAATTGTGAACATTCTGACCTGTGCCGACAACAGCACTCTTTCTTTTTCTGCTTCAACTGCAAACTTAAATCACTTCTTGATGAAGATCAAAGACTTTCATTTAGACATACCTCAATATAAATAAAACAAAACCCCACAACTGGACCAACAAACAACATGATAAATCCCTCTTCTGTTACAGTCCGTTTAGCGGCACCATATTTTTTGTCCCTGTTTCTGCAAGACTGTTGTTATTTTTTTCTTTTTGGGGTATTTCATCAAGAAAATGAGATCTGAAAAAAATATGCAACCATCTTAAAGAAATGCCAGCAAACGTGGTTCTCAACCCTGGATACCAAACCCCCTTGGAGAACCTTAAAGCTCTGTGGACAATGGGGATGAATTAAATAGATGTTGAAATTCTCCAGGTGTTTATCATGCACAGCCAAGATGAAGAATCCCTTCCTCTCATCACCTGGGCAACCAACCCATGCCTTTCTAGTTAAGGCAGACAAGGTGCGGCTCGAGGGCAAAGTTAGAACAGAGAAATAATGGTCTCAAGGAAAGTGAGCCTCGGCTACCTCTCTGGACATGTTGTAATAAATACATTGGCTTCCTTTTTTCTTTTACTAATGTTAAGTTATCATACACATGTTACACTAGATCATAAAATTCTAATTTTGTAAACAACCACCTGGCTACTCCTAGATGTAGCAAGGTCCACCTCCCCCATGCCTCCCCCAATATCAAGTATTCTGTATTGTAACACCAGTAGACAAAATGGAGCTCTTCTCAGTTTTGCAAATTTGCTTGAGTGTCAATTTGGAAAACACTGATGTGGAGAATATATATGAATCAGCAATGAAAACATCTGTTCTGAAGTTCCGAGGTTCTGGGCTGCAGGCATCAACCTTTAAAGTCAAGGCCATGTGGCTGTTACCTAGCCTGGTGTCAGGGTAACTAGATCTTATCTCAGCAGCGTAGTGGGCGGGCCCATTGAGAATACCCCGAAGACAAAGATATGCATGCATTTAGTGTATGTATGTTTTTTTGAAGGAATATCTACATTAGCGACTTGTAAACAAACTTATTAGCAAAAATCATTAGCAAAGAGAATTTCCTCTTTCAAATTCTTTTGGGGTTCAACCTCCAGATGAATCCACCACTCTAGACAAGTTGCTTCAAATACCCTTTTGATCATACCCTTTACAGAATCGTCCAGTAATTCCCTAGCATCCCTTTAAGCTAATCTAAGCCACTAACACTCACGAAAGGTCTTCTATCAACTGGCCCACTCATTTGGTCAATACAATGTATTTATTAATTAAGCCATCTGTTCCTCCTTTTAAACATCTACTGTGCATCAAGTACTTGGTAGCTATAGCATACCCCCCCCAAAAAAAATTTTTTTTAATCACCAAGCCTGGATTTTGCTTTTTCAGGATCTTGAAATTAAACAGGAATTAGGAAGGTAAACACATATTTAAGTAACACTTATTCCACCAAAGGCATTGACCCATTCTATCCGTAGCACAGGAGCCTGAACATGATTTGCAAGGCAGTGGGGAGCCATTGGTTTTAGAGCTGAGGGGGAGAAGAGCTGAGTTTTGAGGTGATGGCCTTAGCGATGTGCAGAATATTCTGGTGAGCAGAACCCAGCAAAGGGTCTATCAGGAAGCTATTCACAATCATAGAGGAAGATACCTAAGCGAAACGGCTCTGGAAGCAGCGAGGAAGGGAAGGAAGATCCAGTGGGTCATCTGATGCCACCCTGGAGCTGGCGCTTCCACAGTCTCTGCGAGTTTCTAGTCTCTTGGATTTTCATATTCTATCTTTCCATCGATCTGTATTCTTTTTTCTCTTCAATTTGTGTCAACACTCTTTTTGGAGACTTTTATGACTCCAGGCTTTATTTTCCCCAATCATTCGCTTCAACACTTGAGTCCGTTCATTTGTTTCAGATGATAAAGCTTCTCAGTAATTGTGCATTTTACTCCTGCACTTCATTTTCCAAACAGGATAATAAGCTCCTATGGCACCAAGATTGTATGTTCAGCTACTCTCTGTATTTTACCCATGACATCTGTCCTACCGTTCTGTGTAGAGTTGTCGCCCAAATATTAACTGACTAAATGTGATTTGACTTATTAAGTATTCAGCTCTATTAAACATGAGTATCGCTATGAGAATTGCCAACTACTAAAATTTGAAACTACATTTGTTAGGAAGAAGAACTGTTTATTAATTCAGCAATTTGAGTGATTGTCAATTCTTTGCAACTTCATTGGCTAGGGAAATCTGATCACTTCTAGCATAATGTGGCTTTGTGTTCTGTTTGGTTTCAAATAAAGAACGCCTTGTGTTTATATTGAAAACATAGCTTGTATTTCAATCAATGCTGAAGACACCTGTCTATTCGAGGTTTCTTTTTGGGGGATGGGGGGAATAACCACTGTGTGAAGTTTCATGTTGCTCTGGGTTTAAAGATCTTTATGCATATTAAAGATTATCCTCTGCGTTCACAGTTACTGCTGAACGCCTACACAGCCTTCTGTTATCCCGAGGACTTATTTTAGGTCCCTTGATCTTTTGTTTCTCCTACTTACAGTTATGATAGAGGCTTACAGTCCTTAGTCATATGAAGAATTGCTCATTTGTATTGGGCTCCAAAGACTCGTGAATAAGATTTTTACTCGTGATAAGTAATTGCTACTCTGTTTGCAAAACTCCAATCTTGCCGCAACAAATGAGAAGATATAGGTCATCAGAGTGCTGCAAGGGAGGGTTACTTTAGAACTTTTAAAATATTTTGGGCACCAATTTATAACCCTCATTTAAAGAATTAAATGAAAAATAAGGGCTTGGCTCCTCCACCCTCAATCACGTGGCTGCCGTAGCAAAGTGTGGTGAAGAAATCAGATGGTGCTTGGCTCAGGAAAAATAGGACGTGGAGGCTTAAAGGCTTGGCTCAAAACAAGCAGCCGTCTAAGTAAGGCATCAACCAAGTCCACACAAAAGAAGCACCAAGCCTGTGTGATCCAAGGATTGTAAAGAATAAGACCCAAACCAGGAGAGGGAAGCAGTACCAGGGCCTAAATTCTAAACACCCAGTGTATGGAAAGCTATGGAGGATATGGTAACCCAAAAATCTATTTTCAGGACTCTACCTGGACTGTGCCTCCCTGCTAAATCACCAATACACATAGAGTAGAAATTTTGCGAACCCTAATATGAGACAAAGAGTGTTGCAAAGTGGATTTAAGTACCTGTATATAGGCTGGAATGTAACGCCTTGTCATTTGATTTTCCTCTGGACTCAGTGTGAATTTATTTTTTTTAAAAATTTTATATTCTCTGCTTTCTCCTTGAATCTAGGACCTAGATTAAGGTCTTTCTATGTTTTATATGGTCCTTGTTGCTGGGACCTTGTTTGCTTGCCCTTGTTTTGTATATTTATCTGTATAGGGAAACTGGGATGGGTGAATGTCTGAAAACAGCAGATGGATGAATGATTACATGGGGGCATGGAAAGGCGCTATGAGGTCATAATGGGAAGTCAACATCAATGGATACAGGCTGGAAGAACAGCTTCCAAAGTTGATTATGGAGATGACTGTACAACCCTTCCTTTTCTCATTATTTAATTATTTATTTCTTTTCCTTTTTTGTTCATTTAAAAAAATTTTTAGTTTAAAGATCATTGTATTGGGGGCTCGTACAGCTCATGTAACCATCCATTCATCAATTGTATCAAGCATATTTGTACATATGTATGCAACCCTTCTTGATATGATTGAACTATCAAATTGTATGATATGTTAATTATAACTCAATATAATTTAAGTAAATATATATGATACTTTTGTGCATGGCAAAAAGTAAAACCAATTTGAGATCGTGCAAATATTAAATTTTCAACAAAATTCAAGTGGCTATTCACACATTATTGAATCTGCAACAAGTTTGCAAAGAATGTTGCCTCACATAACACGGCAGTTTTCAAATGGATCGAGTGTTTTAAGGACGGTCAGGAAGACCTCACAGGTGATCCAAGAGGGAGAGCCACCAACCTTGACAAGTGAGGAAACTGGCTGAAGTCCAGAAACTGGTTGAAGAAGGGAAGTACCAGCGATGTGGTAGCGAATGAAGTTGGAACCTCACATGGTTGGGTTCTTTCAGTGTTAAATAGACATGTTGGCTTCAGCAGGCTTTCAGTTCCATGGATGCCACGAGCATTGGGTGATGGTACTCTTGCTCAAAGAGCTGATCTTTCCATCCATCTTTTAAGCACCATTGAAGCTATGAAGATGGTTTTATGTATCAAAATCAAGTCTTGGATATACCAACATGATCCAGATAGCCAAGTCCAGTCTTAACAGTTGTATCAGAGGGGCTTTGGGGATGGGTAAATTCAAGGCATAAGGATTCCCACAGAAGGTTATGATGCCCTGCCAGCAGAAGAATTTATTTCAGAGGACGACACTGAATCTGCAGCGCTGGGAGAGGGACATTTCTGATCAG